AATCGAATGAAAAAAGAATGTTAACAACAAATACTTTTTCACACCCAACCCAGTTCTGCGGAATCAGAATCAACGTTGAGTTTAAGCAAGCGAATGAGCCAATTGGAGTAAAGTGCCATGCAGATTTAAATTTTTCCCACTTGTGACGAATGCAGCTATCGATTTTTTTTTATTGCTAGCATGCTAGTTAACATTCGTGTCAGTCAGCTGTTGGCTGTCACGCTGGCCAATAGAATCTTCCTGCCTATTCGTGGCAGCCAGCTATAGGCTCTCACTCTGGCCAGTACAAAATGGCTGCAAACTACATGAAAACTGCCATAGAAGCATGAAAAAATCGATTATTTCCACTATCGATGGGAGTTGGGAAATGCAAAGTCGGTCTTGGCCTTCCCGCTAACTTGGAGCATGTGCATGTAAATTTTGGTGCAAATCCGTCGAAAATTGCGGCCGTGCATTCGTTACACACACACATCCTGCCTTATATAGATAGAGATGCTTGGTATGACGCTTGCGTCGTATCGTAATGGTCCGGTTTCAATGCCCGGTAGTGGATGCGCACTCCTGATGAGTCTCAAATATAGGACGAAACGTCCGTCCAGTGCTTTCTGCATTCTGTTGAGGATTATTCTAGACTCGATGAATTATTATTATCATCTCAAATCCTCCTAATAATTTCTATCACACACACACTTACATACATATATATATATACACACTTACATACATACATACATACATACATATATATATATAAGCATGCGTAGAGCGAATTCCAAGGAACTAGCCGTCTTTCATTCGGCACTGTGGATGAAATGAAACGCGAATCTCAGCCCTCCCTGGACACACGAACGGCCTAGACACGACACCAATTATCTCCATCTCTCAACAACAGGGTAATGTCAGCCATTTTAATTATTTCATTTTACAGAGACTACTGTAAGGACATTCTTTAAATTTACCCGTTCTTTCAACAATTATCCTTAAACCCTCTCTATATTAAAATTTCCAATACAATAAAATTTTCTGTCTCATTTTCTTCGTTCTTTTGTTTGTCTATATCTCTCAAACAATTCAGTACGCCATCTTCTGTCTTTCTGAAACTTATTGTCCTTTCTCCTCACTTCTCATCGCTAAAGTTTTCTCATTCATTTTCACTCACAGTAGCTCCTTGCATATTAGCGGCATTATCGCCTTGCTTGTGGTGAAACGGTTAATAAGAATCCTGTTTGTCAATTAACAACACTGGGGGCTCTATAATAATGTCTTAAATAACAATAAGTCCCCCTCTCTTCACTCAATTTGAAGTGTTAACATCTGCTGATAAAGCAGAATTTTTTGTTCGTAAATTCTATTCAAATTCTACTCTTGATGCATCTGGAATATCTTTTCCTGACTTTCCATTTAGAACTGAATTTCTGTTGAGTGATATGCATATAATTCCTGCCATAGTTTCTGCTATTATCTGTAAACTGGATCCCTACAAACTATGTGGACCTGATGGCATCTCTGCAATTGTCCTTAAGAAATGTGTTCCTGAAATGGCCCCCGTTCTTTCTAAACGCTACAATAAATGCCTGGCAACTTCTTACTTTCATGCTTGTTGGAAATCCTCTTCTGTAGTTCCAGGTTTTAAGAACTCAGGTGAACCGTATGATCCCTATATCGGCATTCTACCTCTTTTCATAATGTCATCTTTCAGATAAACAATATGACTTTTGCTTCTCTAGGTCCACTGCTGATGTATTAACGATTATTACTGAAAGAATCTATCAAGTTTTAGATAAGAATGGTGAAGCTCGGTTTGTTGCTGTGAACAACTCGAAAGCACGTGACAGCGTCTGTTGTACGGGTCTTCGTCACAAGTTGAAAGGTTATGATATTTGTGGACGAATTTTTTAACTAATTCCGTCTTTCTTATCAAATCACGAAATTAAAGTTGACCTGAACGGCCACTTTTCTAGATCTTTTTGCATTAATGCCCCCCCCCACCCCGAGCTACGTTGCTCCTAATTTTCATCAACGACTTTCTTGATGACATCAGTTCACAATTCAGTATCTATACCAACCAATGGAACAATTATTTACCACTGTCTTAATAATAGGTGCGATCGGTTCGATACGGTCAAATTGGCAGATGATCTAAAAATGACCTACAATCTGTTGTTAACTGGGGCAAGGAATAGCTTGTTACTTTAAACGCCTCCAAAATGAAACTGTTCTTTATTAATAGTCTGAGAGAGCCTTTTCTGCCTTCCTGAAAGCTGATGCTAACTTCCAAGAGAATTTCACATTCTGGGGCTGACGTTCTTTGCTGACATGAAGTGGAAAGATTATATTCAATCAGTTGCTAGGCCCGCTGCTAGGAACCTTGGTTCACTGTGTCGTTCGAGACAATTTTTCTCTCCAGAATCTATCTTACATAGTTATAAGTCTATCATTCGTCCATGCTTTGAATATTGCTCCTGCTATATATTTAGAGATTCTTGATAAAATCCAAAGAATTTGCAATGTTGTTAGTCCTGACCTGGCATCTCGGCTTCAGTCACTTTCTCACAGCCGTAATGTAGCTTCTCCGTGTTTCTCATAGTAATTATCCTGATGAACTTTCTTCTATGGCACGTAGACTTTATGAATTTAAGTGTAGTACTAGACTGGCAATAAGGTCTCATCAATTTACAGTTGAATTGGCTGAGTTGTAACTGTATTACTGAATAAAGTTTCTTATTTCTTTCATGTTCTTTAACACAGATCATCATCCAGTCTTCTGTAGTTTCCCGGTATCTTTGAAGACCAATTGTTGTAGTTTTGTAAGACAGTTCTAGTTGAACCTATCATCTGTCTCCTTCGGATGTGGGCACTTAGGTCAAGTGAAGGATGTGAATTGTTGAATGCCAGAACTAATTTCAACTCGGAATTAATTTCAACTCGGGACTAATTTCAACTCGGAATTAATTTAAACTCAGAACTAATTTCAATTCGAAACTAATTTCAACTCAATTTAAAAACCCTAACTCCTAACCCTTAGTTCTGAGTTGAAATCAGTTCCGAGTTGAAATTAATTCTGCACTTCGAATTGTTTTATTGTTTCCACTTCATTAAACGAAAAACAGCTATTAACAAAAAAAAAAAAAAAAAAAAAAAAAAAAAAAAAAGGAAAAAAAAAGAAGCATTAAATGGACAAAGCCCTTCGCAGGAAATGGTGTTTGCTTATTTTTTGAGATTCCCTGGAGAGATGTTGTACCAAGGATTTTGATGATTTATTATTGAGTTCTTTTCTTTATCAGACCCAAAGCTCCAACCACAATAGTAACAGTCTTAGTTTTTAAGCGCCGCATGGTTTTTTATTTCCATCTCCAGTCCTTTTCTCTCTTTTCCTTATAGCATGCGGTAAAATTGACAACACCCACCGGAACCTTGTTCCTGGGCAATGGGGATATCTTTCCCTTTAGTGACTGAACTATTTCACACACACACACACACACACACACACACACACACACACACACACACACACACACACACACACACACACAGAGAAACACGCACACACACAGAGACAGAAACACACACACATGCACACAGACACACACACAGACACACACTTGTATCATCTACACAATTCTTAACTTTTAATGTCTTCTTTCTGTTGCGTGCACACTAATGTATCTTATCTCCTTTCTTGCTCAGTTATATAAAAAACAACAAAATAAAATATCACCATGTTGAAATTTATTCCATTTCTGTTCACAGCCCGTCATTTTCATGTGTAAATTTTGATTGCCACTGCTTTTAGTTTAATTAGGAGCAGTACGCCATAATGCCTACAACTGAAACCATCCAAGAAAGAAACAGTGAAATTAGTGATAGCGCAAAAATCGTCGGAGCTCTGTCGAGCAATAATGACACTTTTGATAGAGATGACCATCACAGTTATGAACATTGAAAGTACCGTGGAACAAGAATAGAGAGAGCAGAAACGGGAAGAAAATTCAGTGACTACAAAGAATGCATCAAACTGACACATAATAGTTGACAATTGTTTCATACATAATTAATTGTTTAAGGCAAGACATCGTTTTTCCGAAAATAAATAACCAGATGATATCTAGACTGAATCTATCAAGGTTTACGAAGAGCAAAACAGAAGATTCTCAATGTTTGAAAATTGTCAGATCATGATGTGTCGAGGTCTTGGTCAGTTTAGTTAGAAAGAAAAGGTTGAAGATAGTGTTTTGTTTGCAATCTCTAGATGCCAAACACCAATTACAAAAAGTAAATTTCCTGATTGGCTGAATGTACTCTAAACTCTGAAGAATCTATGAGGGCGATGGATAACAAGAATGTCAAATAAAAACACTGGATTAAAAAAAAGCTGAAGTTGCCGGTATGGTCGCTGAGATTGTGTAGATCTTTGCCTATTCCGTCGTTGGTGGTTGATCGCAGTCACTCTGGTTACTCGGGTCACTCCTCTTCGACCTTACCGGAACTAATCATTTTTTCATATAGATTAAGAACTCCGGATCACAAATAAAAATAAAATTTTATAAACGTTAATAGGGGGACCATTTTGCTATATTTGTACATTTTGTTGTAAATTGATCCCCTTTACAAAATAGTCTCATACTACGTGATTTCTTAATAAAAAAGACAAAGAGTGGGTGTAATGTGGATTTTTCATATATTAGTATATGCACTCCAGATTACGAATTATTTGTCTTTTTAAGAATTGATTGATTTGTTTTTGACGGCTTATCAACCCTTTTCAGCTTATTTAAAGCCAGAAAATATTTTTAGATTGTAAGAATATTTTTGAGATAATAATGAATTACTGATACAAGTCCTACTAATTAACCAATAGCTGGGCGTGGAAGAAGTGAAGTCATACCTTTCCCAATGGTATTTGAGTGTAGGTGAATATAACGAACCCGATTGAAATTGGAACTCACCTCTCCGATTTTCAATTTCGAGCCGTTATACATTATACTACGCGCACATCCAAGCTTACAGAACCTGGTATTCCCAAGGGTTACCCATCTAGGTACTGACCAGGCTCGTCATTGCTTAACTTCGGTATTCGGACAAGAACTGGTGTTCAAACGTATTATGGCCGTAAGTCTCCTTTTAAGAGATCACGTCGTATGAGCATATTTGTTTTGGCTTCCGTAGGTAGATCAATTTACAATAAATTTACATAAAAACTGAAACATTAATAGGTATGCAGATTATATACCATGGATATCCCATTCATTTCTCCTTGCAGAAAGGATGTGCAGATGGTGCAATGGATAGCGACTCGGAAAGAGAAATCGAGTTCGAATTCCAGTTGGGTTAGTTAGATCCAGTTACGCAAAATAACTTTGGGAAAGGTATGAATCAATTAAGATATGGATAAATAGTAGTACTTGTATTTGGAAAAATCATTGTTATTCTAAAAAAACATTTTTAATGGAGTATTCACTCTAAAATAAACAATTATCCTTACAATCTAAAATAACCCACAAAAGGTTGACTAGTCGTAAAAAGAAAAATCAACCAGTCAATCTCTTTGGAGAAAAGACCCTTTCTACTGTGCCGCATCTTGTTGACTATTCTAGCATTTGGAAACAGCTTTTCTGGATTCCTACTAATATGGGGGATTTTAAACACACAGAGCACTCTAGATTTTTCTCTGAAGTGCTTAAGTGTAAATAGATGGTTGCACACTATGAAGTAGTAAATTAAAAATGGATATATTGTTATTTTACAAGCCATCGAAAATATTTTTGAAGACTCAGAAGAGAAGAGTGAATGCAAACAAAATGCAAAGAATTTATATCACAAATTGATAAAGTTGGAACATACTATTTTAATAACCGTTACAGAAGAATGCTTCTGTGTTTCAACAAAACAATAAAAAAAAACAAATCTCAGGTGTTGATGTATTTGAAGGTTATCTTTTGTTGTCATTTTCCCTTTCGTTTGTTAAAGAACTCGACAAGATTGCAAACTATGAATTAGAAACAAAAGATCTGTGTGCAGATATGAACTTCACTTATTCGAATGTTGCTAAGCGCATTGTTACAATGAAAATTTCAGACAGAACAAATAGTAAGGCTTCTTTGAAAGGAGCTGATAAATTTAATTTTTAAATCAATTCTATGGCTACTTAATAATCCAGTTACGTGAGAAGACTGACTCATATGAGCAGATTTCGAACAGGTTAAAGCAGGTACCTTCACAGATTCATTATAAAAGGGCATACCATGATGAAAAAAAATGCCCCATACTTAATAAAACAAAGTTTTATCGTCAAAATCTTTGTTATTATTAAGTTTAAAGAGCATAGAATTCTTTGATTATTAAATTATATGTTTCATCCATTTTAGAACGTTCGAAATTTTGGTTAAAAATTTTGTTTTTCGTGTGTCAGCGGCGTGAGGTTGGGGTGGGGTGTGACAAAAGATTAGTATAGGAAATTTTAGCATTTTTTTGCGGTAAAAAAAAAACACATTGATTTGGAAATTTTTGCAAAAATCAAATAATTGTCGGATTTTAATGATTTTTATTCACAAACGAACTAAATAATTTCAGAAGTTTATTTTTTAGAAGATCTTAACAAAAATACTTTGTTTTTAAATCTGTTACCTCCACCCACACACATACGCTTATCTAATTTTAAGAAATTTGGAGAAATTAATTTTCTGACACTTGATTTTTATATTAGTTAAAAGCAGAACTCCTTGGAGAATTTAAATCATCAGTTTTTTTTATAAAACAGTATCACAGTTACCGAAAATCTGCTCTAAGTCGTAAAATAAAAAATGCAATAAAACTAAAACATTATTTAATTAGAAAAGCTTCTAGCTTCTTGTTTCGAGTTAAGTCATTCTCAATTATACGTCGTTTGACAAAAATATATGGAAAAATAGAAATCAAGTTTAAGTCATTTTATTCGATTTCACGTCTGTCCGACACAAATATTGTAGTCGTAATATCACCAGAAAAACGTTAAAAGCACATAAAATCATTTTACTGTACGATACAGTAAATGTTAATATAATCATCATAAATCCTAGAGAACGAAATATGAAAACATCTGTGACTCTGTGTTGTCATCTTATTGGCGTTATTGATGTCTTAGAGCAAACCACATAACTAAAATACAGAACTGGGAATGGTTATTTGTCGTTTATCCTAGTGACAAGTAAATTCGGAGACAAGTAAATTCGACTTAAGCCGTTTTTCGACTTAAGTCTTGTCTCCTGGAACAATTTACCGATATAAAATGAGTTATACCTGTATAGCGTTTCCCACAAGTCGGATACCATCAAACAAAACGAAGTAAATGTTTATTCACATCACTGACTTTGACAAGTGAATTAACGCAGTACAGAAATTTTAATCAAAATCTAATACGTTGTTAAACTTAAAAAAACAACATTTTCGCTGATCTGCTGTAGAACAATATCTTTGATGACTATACCAGTGATTACCCTGACTTCAATTTTAGTGGAAAGGAGTGGTTTACTGTATGGCCCATTTTTAAGAACTTTACCCCGGAGCTCCATTCTTGTTGAATGCTGTCTCGTTGTTGCTGGTTTCAAAAGGGGGTTTTCGTAACAGTTTAAGATTCAAGGTACCAAAAATGTAGGTCCGCTACTCCAGTGAGGAAAGGTCCAAGTCTGAAACTTTTATCGCTGCTTTCGTAATTATACATTTTAATCCAGCAAAGACTAAAAAAAAAAAAATTAATCCCTAATAATTATATCAGAAAAATATCCTTATATACATTATTTGAAAAATATTTCCAGCAACCATAATGACAAAAGAAGCCGAAATTTCCTTTTCAATGATGATGGAAAAGTGAAAATTTTACAACTTTTGTTCGTTGAAATCTCTAACCTTTTGCCTCGAGATTTCTGACAAATCCTGTTTAAAAAAATACTATTTTCAAATATCTATTTTTATTGTAAATTTGGTGATTCCTAAAAATTATATCAATCACTAAGAAAATTTTATATCCACACCAAAATAAATAAATTAATAAGACATAACTACAAATTTTGGATGGATACATTCCGGCCTTGTGGATAGATTGTAGGTAGAGTATTGGGTTGGTAGCAAATAATTTCATTGTTTATTACGATGTAATGAATTTAGCAAAATTAGAATGATCTAGCGTGACATTTTTGTTGTGTTTATGTTCCATATTTTGTAAAGCCCCTGATTTTGAATACTGATTTTCAAGGCGAATCAGCTTTCCATATTTTCGATGACTGATGCTGCACAATCTTCCTAACCTACATTTCTCATCATAAAGCTAATCAATAAAAGAAATATCAATAACATCTAAATAAGGGTTTTGGTTGTATTGAAAATAACTGTAAATCCGAATTTGATTTGTTGAAGACGAGAAATTCAATTTATATCGATTTTGCCACAAAGATTAATGACTTTTTGTCTCAATCAGTTTATTCTGTGGGCACTGAAATAAATTGAAGTTTTCTGAACATTTTAAACAGTAGTGTTTCCACTTCATTTCTACTTTTTTGAACACTATATATATATACATACATACATATATATATATATATATATATATATATATATATATATATATGTGTGTGTGTGTGTGTATATATATATATATATGTGTGTGTGTGTGTGTATATGTATATGTATATGTATGTATATATATATATATATATATATATATATATACTAATATTTCTATGAACACTATGGAGTTCACTGTAAAAAAGAACTTTTGTTATGCGATCACCACTCATCCTTGCCACATGGCCAGTCCAACGTAGTTGTGATTACATTATGAAGGTCTCGATCGTACCAATCTTGCATTTCTCAAAAAAGGTCGGCATTTGACATTCGATCATCAAACGTTAGACCACAGATTGTACGGAGAAAACCTTTATGGAAGACATCTAATCGTTTAATGTGCCATCTATAAGGTGTCCAAGTTTCAGAGCAATACAAAAGAGTTGACAAAACGAAAGCTCTGTACACTTGGATTTTAGTGCAAAGCTTTATTTTCCTTTCGTCCCACAAGCTTTGACGCAGTGAACCAAATGAAGCGCTGGCTTTTGCAATGCGATTAATCTCGTCATCAAGCGATGTACTTAAATTTACCATGCTTCCGAGGTATTTGAAAGATTCCACATACTTGAGATTCTTTCCATCAACTTGTAAAGGGACGTAAGGAAACTTACGAACAGGGGGTCTCTGCTTTACACCTCCAATTTGCTTTGGTGTCGGGCAAGGTTGATGAACAACTTCAGTTTTCTTGATTCTGATAGTAAGTCTGAATGCTTTACATGCCGCAGAAAACTGGTTGAGTAAGTCTTGAGCTTCCTCTAAAGAGTTAGCTACAAGGGCAGCGTCGTCTGCAAAAAGTAGATTGCGTATAATATTGGTACGTAGAAGTATTTTGAACTTAAACCGCTGATGGTTAAACAGTCCTCCGTTATTTCGAAAATGAAATTTAACGTCAGATTTTGTATCCCGGAGAGCATATCTCAGCATCACCGAGAACAACAGTGCAAACAATACAGGCGCCATGGCACAGCCTTGCTTAGTTCCATCAATGACATCAAATGGACCAGAGCGCTGACCATCAGACATAACACTAGCTTGCATACCAACATGAAATGAAATGATGATATTCAACATGTCTGGAATACCAAGTTTCTTCAGAATTTTCCAGAGTGCTTCTCTGTTTACAGTATCAAAGGCCTTAGTAAGGTCCACGAATACCATAAACAGCCATCCGCGCCAAAACGCCTTAATGTCTTATTATTGAAAAACAATCAAGTGCAAGCCGATCTTTTTGATAAACTGGACACTACTCTCCCGGCAGTTAATATCACTGCTGACGTTGAATCATCATGGAATGTATTGCGAAAAGCAACTCATGCTGCCTCTCTGGAAGTTCTAAGATTTCCACTGCGCAAACATCAAGACTTTTTTGATGAAAATGATACAGAAGTCCAAAAACTAATTAATGAAATACATAAGTATCATAAGATTTGGGTAAATGAAAAAAAACTGCCAGTCAAAAGAAGCCAACTACAAAGGGTGTAAAGCAAGAGTACAACGTTCACTCAGACAAATGAAAGA